AGAACCCAAGCTTTCTCAGAGGGATGCAAACTTTTTGTTTTTTCGGTGCTCTTAGTATTTTGAGAATTTCTCCCCAAAAGCTTGATCGAAATCGGTAAAAAAGGTGGTATTCGGAATCAGCGCAGTCAGGAGTATCTGAATATATAGCTTTCGATCAAAAAATGAGATAGTGCTCGATTTTCGAATTGTGCGCATCTTATAAAATCTTACATTTTTTGTCGTACGTGTGAAAGTGACATAACATGTTTTGTTCTTGTTTGCTGTTCCGCGTAACGACGGCAGAAATACTTTTTGTGGACAAACAAGACAAAAGAAATAGCTTCAAAATATTCCTTTTTGTGTCCGATTAATGAAATTTAGTTCAGATAAAAAACGTATTTTTTCTCTTCATTTTCTTCTCAGTTTTTAATTGTCTTCAGGTTTATCCTTCTTTATGGACACATTGTCAAAATACTTACAGTAACATGAAATATAAACGTTCAAGTTAACAAATCTGCTATAGAACGTTTATTTTGTATGATTATCTTTACCATTTTTTTCTGGCCTCAACATTTATAAAGGGTACAAATAAAGTTTACATTATTAAGCGGATTATCCACCGATCGTTTTCTTTTCTGATGCGAATGGTAAGTTCTCGTCAAACTAACATTGCCATGAGATTCAGCATAGTCGATAGCCTATGTTTGCATACACTCTTAAGATTCTGCCACGAATCGTGGTAGAGTTTATTAATAATAAAGCCTTATTTAATTCAAAATCGAAGAATCATTCAAGTCATTTGTTTTATTCTGCTAGAGCGCACAAGCTAGAAAGGGAAAAATAAAAGATCCGTTTCAATATTGTGGATTCTGACTATTATATATACAGAAAATAATAGAATTGAAAGTAACTGATTATCTTTCTGTCTTCGCTTCGCATCGCATCGCATCGCATCGTACTCCTATAGTGCAATGATACCGCCACCGTCTAAAAACATTCAGTGAAAATAAGACACATTAATGTGACTTAATGTGATCCTACGTTGCATTTTTTTTTAAAGTATATATTCGAAGATCGGCTCATCACTAAGAGGAAATATAACTACAATGCGGCCTGTCCAGCTAACTGTACCTGCGTATGTAATTTGCTAACGTTTTTCGGTGATTTTGTTTTATTTGCAGAAATTTTTCAAAATTTTAGAACTCAAAAGTGAATGAGCCATTTTGCAGACAATTCAATTCTCTATCGGCTGACCTGGTTTTGGACAGTTTTAGCGAAAATGTCTTGGTTAGGAAATTCTAAAGAGTGAGAGCCGCTTTACTAAATTTATAAAAACGATATGCAAAACGTAGCTCTCAGTGTTTTGAATTTCCTAACCAAGTGATTTTTGCTAAAACTTTTCAAAACCAGGTCAGTTGATAGAGAATTGAGTTGTCTACAAAATGGCTCATTCACTTTTGAGTTCTGACTTTTTGAAAAATTTCTGCAAATAAAACAAATCACCAAAAAATGTTACGGAATTACACTTAGCTGGTCAGGCCGAATGCTTTCAAGAGACAACACTTCAGTGTAACTCATTTTTTTAGCAACAGCTTCATTTCTTTAGGAACGCGTCTTTCTACTCAAACATTTGCTTGCATGCGCATGTGACAAATCTTATCACACGCCGCATGCAGTTCCACTAGGGTTATCAACAACTCATGAAGAACGTTAGAAAACTGTAAACGATTACAAAAACTGTAGTTTTAGTTGGCAAAATAGAACTTTGGGAGCTTTAAAATTAGGCGAAAAGCATCAATGTATCTCACAGAAAGTTGTTCCATCAATTAACTTTCCTAGGTTGGGAAAATATTGGCAGTAACAGGAGCGCATAATAAATGGTCCAAACCCTTTTTGTACTCCTGAAATACTTTCGACCAATTTTTCAAATCTGGTTCTGGTGTCATTCGATAGAGAATTGAATTCTCTACAAAATATGCTATTTGAATCTCTGACAGCATTTTTCTCGTTTGAGTATTATTCAATATTTTGAGTAGTGCTAAGTTTTCGAAATGCAACACACTGAAAACAGAAAAATATTTGCCTTGATCTAAAAACAGGTTCCATAAGAATTTTTAAAACATCAGAAGATTCATCGGAAAATTCTGCATCTTCTCACATATTTTTCGAAATTTTCAGTTAAGCCTTACTTGTTCCTTTTTGCAAAAAACTGATAAATCTGAGAAAACCTAACTTTTGAACCTATTTTTCACAGACTTTAGTTTTTTACCTATAAAAGCAGTAAAACGTTCTGAACGTTCGAATCTAGGGTTTCAGCCTTGACATCCTACACAAAATTAAATTTTGCATTTTTTAATATATAAACAAAGTTTCTTCATTGAAACCATTCACTAAAAACATTAATTTAATTTGAAAAATTTGAAAAGCCGGTTGAGAACTAGTTATGAGTCCAGCTGACGTGGTGGAAACTTTGTATGACGTTGCAAATGAGTGAAGTAGATACAGGACAAAACTCTCTGTCTTTCTACCTAGAAGAAGTAACTGTTGAACCTCAGATAATGGGCTAAAAATCTAAAAAAAGGATACGACAAAAGCACGTCGCAGTTCGAGAGCTTAGCTAAAACAAGAAAAATGCTATCAGAGATTCAAATAGCACACTTTGTAGAGAATTCAATTCTCTATCAAATCAGACTAGAATCTGATTTTTAGATCACTAGGAAGTGTTCTAGAAATAAGAAAAGATTTTGACCGGTTTACTAAATGCTGTCTTCTCTCTGTTTAGAAATCTACGTGAAAACATTTATCGGTTTGTGCACATTTATTGTTATTCGACTGCCGTGCTTCGTTATGAAACTATTACAAACTTTAATTAAAGTTAATGATTGGCAAGTAATTTAGAAAATTTAAGTGCAAAGCATTAGTTTTAAAAGAGATTTGACTTCATTTGATACCACTGCATTATCTGATTATCGAAACAACAAATACAGACTGGTTTTCTTCATTTGTTGTCATGTTGCTTTACTTTTCCTGCTTCATTGTTTTTCTTCACCCACTCTTATCCAATCAGTTTAGTCCCAATTTACTGGATTATGATGCCTATGGTGTTAAATTAGTGACAAACGATTACCAGATGGTTTGGGTTTCAAATCCAGGAAAAGTATTTTTAGTTGGACTTGGTCCTTATATCTACGATCCTAAGTTTTGCAGTATTTCTTTTGTTAGTCAAACAAATTATGTCTATAGTGTAGCAGCCGGAACAGAACAAAATGCTAGTCAGTCATATTTTGTTTATATCGGAGAAGATCTTGTAAGTGGAAACCAGGTTGTAGGTGTAATCCGCTATAATACAACCAATAATCCATGCACATATGAGTATGCAAATATTCAGTATTTTAATTATAGCCATCAAGAATTTTATATAGTTGGTGTTGATCCACTAGGCTTATACGCTTATGGTCAGGCCGCTGACTTTGCTTTTGTTTATAATCTAAATACCTACGAGATAAACGTTCAACCACGGCAGATAGTTCTGGATGCTCCCTTCTCTGCTTTTCCGTCTTTTGTTCCACATGCGTTGAGTATGACTGAAAATTTTGTTATTGTAGCTGGATATGGTTTTGATACCAGCGTTAGCGAGTATGCTCCTATTGCTTGTCTTTTCCATTTGAATCCTCTCACATTTGATATTTCATTCGTAACGTTTGTACCACTATTCAGTGATAATAGAGTAATTCCTATTATTTCTGCAGTAGATTACAGTTTAGCATATGACATGTCCGTAGCTGTCAATGCACAGAATCAAGTTCTGGTTGGTGTACCATCATTTGATAGTGTAGTACTACTGTCTGTTAATGCGACTAATTTAAATATTGTTAATTCTATAACTCGATATCAAAGTTATACAGGTTTTGGTAAATCCGTAGCTTGGATTGATAATACAACAGCAGCCATTCTTGTTTATAATCTTGCAGATTATCCGTGGTCATCATCTACTGTACATGTGTTCGATCTTGAATATTCTTCTATCACGCCCATATTTGCCTTGCCCAACAATCAACAAACTTTCTTTTCCAACTTGTACTCATCAGTAAGTCCGAGTTTCGTTAAGATAGGTTCTTGGTCAGGAAATTTGATTATATTGGATAGTAACGGTGAGATATTGCTCATTCATTCTAGTCCATCGGGGTACTGTAGCGTTAGCAATAAAACTTATTTCGGTATTCTAAATATATTTTTACCAGTCCCCTGTTCAGCAGGAACATTTAAAAATAGCTCAGGCATTGGACCGTGTTTTGTTTGTCCACAAGGAAGAAAAAATTCAGGTGATACAGGTATTGAATGTGCTTGGTGTCAGACAACATCATTTTGCCCATTAGGTTCAGTGAACGATGTCAATTATTCCACAGTTCAAAGTATTAGTACCGTTCGCGCTTATCCAGAGTCACCTGATAGTACCATATTCGATGATATTTTAATTCAAAATATGTTTGCCATTGGTAGTACTAATCATTGCATTGTTGTAAGTCCTCTGTTTTGGACATCCATTATAATCATTCTGGCTATTCTTCTTCTTGTTGTTATGGCTTTGTTAAAAGTCTTTGAAAAAAAGAAAAATCATCTGATATTGATCAAAAAAATATTTAAACAAGTAGATCTCGTAGGTGAAGGTGAACTTTGGGTTGGAGGTTTAATATCGTTTGCTATTATTGTCTTAGTTACATTTGCGTACTGGTTTAGTAGTTCTTATTTGGGACAATATCCAATTGAGACGTCAGGCGATTCAACATTTGCTTGTGATACTAGTATACGTAATGCAAAATTCAGTACCGGTTTACAATTGTTATCTATCCCGAAGTCAGATGAGCAAGAACCTATTTTTAATATGCTTGACGACCAAAAGTTTACAATGAGTGTTGACTTTGTTAATACTTTATACAGACATGCGGATATTACTGTTCAGCAAAATATTGGTTCTAATGTTGTTTTATTGAATATTTCTGATTATCTATTGCAGAACGATAATGCCACACTTCATATTTCTCTTGATTTACCTTTTCATCAGATGAATGTTCAATTTAATCTAACTGGTCCTTATTCAGTTGGAGGTGTAAGAATTTGCCTGTCAGGATCATTGTCTAGTAATGGGAGTTATACAGTTCAACAACTGTATTTTTGTAAATTTTTTTATAACCTTAACGAAACATTTGCTCATTCATCTAGCATTGATTTACAACTAACTAAAGTAATAAATGTCACAGATGTATTGACTGTAGGTGACAATATTTTGTACAGTGGATTATGGATACCAACATTTACTGTTGGTACAATATCAGATCAACTTTTGTATAGTCAAAAAGGTGAATACTTAAGATATGCTTCGACGCAAACAACTTTGTTAATAACTATTGGTGAAACTCAGTTTTACATTCAAAATACTCAGAGTCCAATTGCCAAGCAGTCTGAGATTGTTTTTCATAATTTGTTGTTTACAATCGTATGTCTTGAAATATTTGGACTGATATTTTTGATTATTAAACTTCTGTTTGCTCCAGTTTTTACGACACTTTTACTTAAAGTTCAACGTAAGTATAGTCATATACGAATTCTTGATATGGATGACACTAAAACAGAGAAAGAAGATGCACTTGAGATCAAAATAATTTCCACATCGAGTAGCAGACCAAGACAACTTCTTCCACAAGCTTTCTCAGTGCCCAACGACTTGAGTCATATGCAGGGTAATGCAATTTCAGGTCATAATGATCTAATAAAAGAAGACAATATTGCTGACTAGTGATTTGTACAGGCTGCACACTGAGTTTTTTTAAATTGTTTTGTTTCCAACATTAATTATTATTTTAATTTTTCTCTAGCAAGTTCATGCTTAGCTTTTTGTAAATAGCTCTTTATTTGTAAAGCACTAATTGAATCGAACAAGCTAAGAACCACTCTTGTGTTTCGTTTTATCTTCTTCGTTGTTGCTTATGTTTAGCTCTTCATGTCTGTCTGATATTTAATCTCGGTTAATATTTTCTCTTAAAAGTATGTGTGCTGGAATGTATTATTATGTATAAATATTTGAAACGGTATTGTAAATAATGTTTTGTTGAAAGAAAATGTAACTTTTTTCTATTAATTATTGTTAAAACAAAAGCCCTAAATATTCAGTGTCAGCTCAAAGCTACAGAAATAAGAAGAAATTAATTTAGGGCTTTTCGTGTAAATTCTAAAACTTTGAAAAGAAAGGTCGTATAGAGCTGGGAGATGTCTGATTTTAATCAGAAATTTGCGTGCTACGATCATGCCTTGTTAAGAAAGGTTTTGGTACCTTTCAGAGTTTCTGAAAAGCTGCCTTTCCAGAAAATAGCGTCTTCAAGAGTCAAGGGGGAAAATTCTTTTAGACTGTTTACTAGCTCGATATCTTCTATCAATCGACGTATGAACGAACAAAATCGGAGGGTATCACTTGAATAGGCGTCCTCGTAAGGAGGAAGCATTAGCTAAAGTTTCCAGTTTATATAAGAAATAAGTGCGAATCACATTCGAGATATCACAAAAGATAATTAATGGTAACTGACTGATTTTTTAACGGTGATGAGCGATTATTTCTCTACAAAAACTGAATAAATATGAAACTTTTTATTCACGATTTGAAAGAGCGAATTTAGCACTCTTCGATGTAGTTATCAGTCATTCTTCAAACGTATCGTTCTGCTTTTCGCAGTAATTCTTTTTGAATTTCGACAAGTATTTTGCCAAAAATAATAGTGTTATGTTATGGGTATTTGGACAAAACTTTGGGTTAGGCTGTTAAGAGGGGGGGAGTTCTCCCTGTTTAGGTTTTTCTCTAGCATTCCCAGTTTGTAGAGGACACTTCGAAGTATATGTCCTGAAGTTTTCTCAGCTTACTTACATTATTTAACTGAGAAAAAAATTAATTACTTAAAAAAATGTTGTTAAATTTTTTTTTTTTTTTTTTTTTTTAATAATAAGGTTTTTTTTTAAGAAAAGGTAACAAAAAACTTGAATTCGCGCCCAGCCC